AGCCCCCCCACTGTGGCACCTGATGGTCCCCCATCACAGTACTAACCAGGCCCTGCCCTGTTTTGCTTTAGAGATCTGGGGCCGTATTCCTAAAGATTCTTACTGCTAAAAGTTGCTCCTAGTGGCCAAATTCTAAGAATTTTCTTAGAATCTTGACCAACTCTTAGAATTTCCCCTAAAAGTGAGGAGTAGCTCCTAGTTAAGATAAAAGCTATTCCTAAAAAATCCTAGCTCTTAAGAGTGCTCTTAAGGGGAGATCCCTTAAGAGTTGAGAGGAGGACTTTTAGCGACTTAAAAGTTCCCTAAGAGCACAAAATGGTGGACGGTGGAGACAGGAGAAATATTCTATACACTGGATGACAGTGAATCAGTGAAACGCTACAGATTCAAGCAGGAATCATGTTTGTGGTATATTTAAAAGTCAATCATGTGACCAGCTTCTCATTGGCTGGTCAGCAATAACACCTCATCCATTTTACCTTTGTTACACAAAAGTAAGTAGAAATGGTAAAAGTTGAAAGAGAGGAAAAAGTGGTCCTAAATTGTCACACATTCAGTACGAATGAATGAATACTTTATTTTGAGCCATGGCAAACAAGAAAAAAAAGGACAAAACAAACAAAACAACAACAGAATAGAAGTACAAATATACAGTTTTGTTTTATTAACAACAATCCAGCTCAAAAAGGAGTGGGAGAGGATAAGACTTTTAAGCTCCCTTGTACTTGATTTGTACAGTGTATGTATAATATGTTTATATTAATATTGTTTCCTTAATTCCTTATAAGTCTATACATATCACAGCCTTTACTAATCCTAACGTTATCATTATCATCATTTATCCATATAATATTTATAATAATAATTTTCTTTATCATGTATATTATATATAGAGTAATATTTAAATTATATGTATATATATATACATATATATATATATATATATATATATATATATATATATAAAATTATAAGTGCTCATGATATATACGTATTATGTGTGATAAATTGGTGCTGAGCAAGCTCTGATGATGGTGTATAAGTCTAACTTTACTATTCACAGTATTTATGTACCATTGATATATCTGACTTTATAGCTTTTGGTTATTATTTACAATAACACAGTGTTCCTAAGATTAGATTCCATGATTGAGTTTGTCCATTTTAGGGCCCTTATTTTGCCTATTATCATCAAAAATATGTTTGTTCTAACTTTTAGGATCAACCAATCACAGCGTCTGAAATGATGACTCTTACCTAGCAACGGGGTCGGCCACGCCTCCTCACTAAGATAAAAGTTGTTGTCAATTCCTTGCTCAGAGTTCTCTAAGAGTGTTCTGGAATAACTTAGCTAAGACTCCTAACTAGGAGTTTTTAGGTTAAGATAAGAGCTCTCTGAGAGGACTCTCAGAATCTTTAGGAATACGGCCCCTGGCTTTCACATTCAAGTATAGCCACATGTACCCTGGGTGTTTTCATACCCTTTAGAGTGGGTATGGAATCAGTTTTATAGATGCCCATGAGGTTAGACCAATCAACAAGTAGAAATGATACTGGGAGATTAGTTTGGAAACCAGAGTCTGCCTGTCTGTCTCTCAGTCTGTCTTCCTGTCTTCCTGTCTTTCTGTCTGCCTGCCCACCTGCCTGTCTGTCTGTTTGTCTGTCTGTCTATCTGCCTCTTTGTCCGTCCGTCTCTCTGTCTGCCTCTTTGACCATCTGTCTGTCTCTCTGTCTCTCTCTCCGTGTCTGTCTACCTGCACACAGTTTTCATGACAGCTAAACGACCCCGGACTTACGGATTCCAAGCTCTACAATTATCCCTACATTTCTCTCACGACGCAATACTTTGAAATCACTGCTTTGGGAATAGAGGGCACTTATACCTCTCTTTTCCTTCGCTCATCTATGTGCAGCTGCCGAGTGTGTTGGTGAAAAGACTTTAATGGAGATTACATGATGGAGAGGCTGGGGACAATGTGTAAAAACACCGGCACCGGCTCCGACAAAGTGCTGCAAGTGAAAAGGACCAACTGAACGCTAATTGAGTCAGATACAAAGATTGTTGTCTATTGGCATTAATGGTGCGAGGCGAACCGCATCTAGACGAGTGCAGCTGCTGGATGTGCGTCACAAAAGACAAAGCCACGTGGTGCTCAAATTGTTTTATGTTCCAGAGATTCACCGATTGTGTTTTTCGTACACGTCACTTGCTTGCTCTTGGCCTGACACACATGCAGAGAGGGCCTTTCTGTGCTGACCTGAACGACTCAAACGTGTGTGAATTGTCACTAACTGAATGATTCGTGAAAAGTGTATCAAGTGGGTTCACACCTTGTTTATCACCTGCCACTCCTGATCTTGTGATTGCTGAAAAAATGCTAGTATAATGTTAGAAATAGCCAGCTCTTACTACACTGTCAGTTAAAACCCACAGAGAAAAATCCATGGATGACTTTTAAAGGCCACTGCTCTAATTAAGGGCATGTAAATAGCAAATGGAAGATACTTGCACGGTTACACTGCTTTTGTAATCTATATATTTCCACCAAGGAGAAGTTAAGAAATACTGGGTTTATGGCCATACTGGCATGCAAAAGCCAGATCCCGCTAGACCTCTACTAGCCAGGAAGGGCCTGGTTAGTACTGTGATGGGAGACCTCTGGGTACACCAGGTACCACAGTGGGGCGGCTGCGGCTGTAAAGTGCCAAACTGTTGTTGTGTCCTTCGACAAGACACTTCACCCACATTGCCTATAATGAATCTGGTGTCTGCATGAATGGTTGGTGGTGGTCGGAGGGGCTGATGGTGCATACTGGTTGCCCTGCTTCTGTGCCCAGGGCAGCTGTGGCTACAGTAGTAGTTTATCACCACTGTGTATGGAGTGAAAGAACAATGACATGTGAATCATTTTTGAGTGTCTGAAAAAAGCACTATATAAAACCAATGCATTATTAATGTTTTTGATAACCCCAGATTTGCAGCTTAAGGCAACTGGCAAAAACAACTGAACTATTGCAGTATAATACTTCACTTGACACAATAAAAAAGAAGAAACATATAAACCTGTATACACAATTTGAAAAGGAGTAGGAAAAGTTGCCTGGGTCCCTTGTGTCAGGCCTGCATTCCTGCCTCCGAAGAATGGATTACATGGATTACAGTTTCGTGAAATCATAGGCCATACCTTAGTAGTGGACTAATCACCGGAAGAAGCCGATTTCACCATAAGCTAAGGCTTCTGAACATCCTCATTTGAAAAGGAAAAACTCTAAAAGGTTTATGTGTTATACTCATAGACTGTATATAGATGGACAATGCTCAATGAAGCCCAATAGGGAAGTGCTCATGGACAAAGTTTTTTCTCCAAGTTGCTCTGGCTCCTATTTATTTACTTTTAAAAGTGTGTGTCTGTGTTATAGCGCTCTCTGTGATTTTAGTATACATATAGGGATCTCCCGGTCACATGACCCATAGCCGCGTGTCAGCCATTTTGACGGAATCCGTCCGCCAACTCCGCAGCAATGGAGCTAAGCTAGCTAGTTCAAAAACTCTCTGGAACTACATGAAAACTGAACAAAGAATTCTGAACATCAGCGGTGAGTTACTCATTTATGTACCAAACCTAAATCCATAATCAGATCCTCTTCAAATGTGTCCTAAAATGTTTCATGTTAATGGTTACTTCCGGGTTTATCACGATCGCTTTTTGTTACATTAAAACAATATTTTTGTCATGAAAACGTTAACAAATAATTCTGAAAACCTCTGTGCATTTGTGTTAGGGATGTATATGTATACTGTATTCTCTGATTAACATTTAATGGTGATGATTGATTTATTGGCATTTGTTTGAGAGTGGCTAGCTTGGCTAGTTCTCTGCACAGTGGTAACAGGCACTGAAAGCTCGTTGTACTTTTTTTTTTGTCATGAAAACATGAACAAATAATTCTGAAAACCTCTGTGCACCCGGTAAAAAGATATTCCACGTATCTGGTCGCATCCAACTGCACAGCATCGCTCCAGCATGATAGTTAAATCTCGCTACTACCTGTAGTATCACCAGCGGTTTTGCATTTCTACACTGTCAAAATGGCTGCTCCAAATGGCGTGACGTCCCTATATTGACATTGTCTTTGTGCAAAGAGTGGGTAATGAATTCTGTGTCTCCTTTAAAATATTTACTGACATCAGATTCAGATTCAGATTCATTCATTTTATTTATCTGTAGGTGTTTTGAGAACAGGAAGTCCAAATTGGTTTGTGGAGTAACGATTACTGGATGACCAATGCTAACCATCTGGATGGAGATGGTTAGCATTGTCAGAATACAATTTAACTTAATTTGCAATTAAGCCTGCAGCCATCCATATCTGCTGGACTACATTTACTATGTAATACAATCATTCAATGTACCTCCTTATTCTCAAAAAATAGTTTGGTTGGAAAAAGCTTGGAAAAGCTGATCTGTATACCAGCTTTTTGAGACAGAAATGTTGCAAAGAGAGGACCACACGCACTCAGTCAATCATCTCTCTGCCCAACAGGTCAAATAGTGACCCATACGGCTCTTACTTACAAGTGTGCGAAAATTAACCTTGCTATGAACGAGAAAATGTTACCTAACCTGAGTGATAATCCATTGTTTACTTGGTTTAGGTGAAATCTTGGTCGGTGACGCGCTTCATAGATGAATAGCAAGAGCAGTAATGTGATCATGAATAAACGCACATTGAACAAATAATCTTTATGTATGCATTGGTCATTCACTCCTCACACAAACACAATTATGTCTCATTGCATAAGTACACTTACACTCTCAGATTGTTCCTTTGAGCCTTGATTAAAACATTGGCTGTATGATTTTGTTGACATTCTGCCTCAAACGCAGACCTGTTATTATCATCAGACAGAAGCAGACACTGGACACAGCCCCAGCCATAACATCAGGCCAAAATCAGCTCAATTGTAATTATTGTCTCGTTTTTCTGTGTCTCCACAGGTATTCCCAGTAATCATGGACCAGTGCGTAAGTTGATCCAAGTTTTCTCAACTCGCATGTCGACACAACCCCATTGTACATACAGATAAATAAAGTTAGAAAAAGAAAGGCGCCACAGCGAGGCGTGAGACTTCTTCCTTGTCTGTATAAAAGTCAGTTTATTTCAAGAACATTGATAGCACCTCAGATTAAGTTAGCGACAGCACTATTGTCAGAGGGTGTATTGCAGATTTGCAGGGAAAAAAAGAGGTTCAATTGTCTCGAGCCTTTGCAATTAAATACCATTATGTTATGTTTGGCCTGCTGTGTCATATCATGTGGCCCTCTGCCCCAAACACAAAGTCAGCATTGGGGCACTTTCACAGTTTCATCCAGCCAACTTCAGCTCCACCAATATAGATATGCTTTACTTAATTGTAAAGCTAAGAACCTCTGGAATCCAGTCGTTGTTTTGTTTTTGATTGTGTCGCAACATTTTATATATGGCCCTAATGTAGCCGTGCTATGAATCCACATTTATCATACCATTTCACCTTCCACCTGTCCCCGCCTTAATGTTCAGTGTACAGTCTTATACAGTCTAGTATAAAGCTTCAGTTACCCCAATGTTCTGACTCAAAGATTCATAGATGATCAAAAGCCATTTTTCAACTTTAAAAACCATTCCATAGATAAAACTATGAAGGTTTGTGCAGTTTGGAATAGGACGTCAAAGTCACTTTCTGCCAGAAGTAACTGTGATCTGTGAATTTACTATAAACAGACACACTTTTATATTTTCAAGTGCAATTAAAGTTAAATGCTTTAAGCCAGCACTTTTTTCCACTCACTTGTTGCACGTGTAGTGTGTTTGTTTACTCACGTTAACAATATTCAGTTTAACATTAGCTCTACTCAATCAATGTGATTGATTAAGTAGAGCTAATCAATAAAATTTTACTTTTAAGCGCTTTTCATATAAAAGATGCAACACAAAGTGCTTCACCGTTTGGTTGAAAACTCGCCCGCATGCCCATGACATACATACTGTATATTATTGAGAACGCACACACTAGCGGACAAACACACACACACACACGCTTCTAGGTTCAGGTCAGTAAAATACGACGCCCATGGTCGGACCTACAGAGTGCACCCCTCTGTGCCCATGTCTGAGGGGGACGTCCCACTGAGAGCTGTAGCCCCTGTGTACTGTGCAACTAATGACGTGCGCAATGACACATAGTCAATGTCCAAATGCTTTAGGATGTGTTCAATCCATGAATCCAGTACAATCCACTTTACTTATAGGAAAGGCAAGGCAAGTTTATTTATATAGCACAATTCATACACAAGGCAACTCAAAGTGCTGAACAAAATAAGAAAGCATTAAATCATAACTAATCACAGAACATTAAAAAGAAAGATAAAAATATAAAATCCCTCAGTTTATGCACAGCTAAACAGAACTGTCTTTAACCTGGTTTTAAACATTGTCATTGAGGAGGCCTGTCTCACATCTTCAGGAAGACTGTTCCAGATTTTACTTATATAGCACATTTCATACACAAAGCGTTTCCAAAGTGCTGCTCGGAAAAAAATACATACCAAATAATAGATTGAATAGATTGATGTATCATAGATAATAGATTGAATGAAATAGATTGAGTTAATTAAATGAATACAATGCAATACAAGTATTAAAGTCTGGAGCCGAGTTCAGGAGCTATAAATACAACTGAATCTCTATGACAAGAGTTACACTTCCAAAGATTTAAATACAGTATGATTAGATTCGCTTTGTCTTTTCATTCATTTAGGACAAAGAATGTGAATGAGCAGATCAGCAACGGCAAAACCAACAGCTATCATTGTTTACAATCATTGCTAAAAAGTTCAAGTGTTGCCGCAGGAGAACATTCTAATATAATATTTTGAGACGACGCGTCATCCTCAGTTTGAGGCTTTTATGTGTTTCTTGTTTTATTGTTTGTGTTCTTGCTCTGTTTGAGTCTTAAAACAACAATTAACAGTTCTAATGAGTTGGAATCTAAAATAGTTCACTGGAATAGTTTAATAGTTGTTGAATATTTAAATGATTGAAAAATTGTTACAGCTATGGACATAACTCAAAAGTACAAATACACAAATATACAAAGTCCTATACTAAAATACTCCATGCACACAAAATGGACAATATTGAAGGCATTATTTTCACAGTTGTGAGATGAACCACTATGATGACATTTACCACTATGACATTACTCTTGCTTTTAAAACAAAAATGTTTTGAAAAGTGAAATGATGTTCTTTACCAAGAACATACCAAGGGTTGTGTTTGCAGCTGGTAATTTTCAAAATGAAGAAGAAAAACAAAATTCAATTTCTGCCTCTGGTGGTAGCACAGGGATAGCGCAGGCGATGGCATTTTTTTTAACCCTTCAGACCTGTTTCACTGTATATTTTCCGTAGATTTTTTCCAAACCATGAAATGACAATGCAAACGTAATTTTTGAATGGCCACACATTGTACATAATATTTGTTCTTTAAAATTGGAAACATATAGAATTACACAGGCGTCATTTGTTGCATGCCTCCTCCTCCTTCACCTCTGCACCGTTTTGAAAAGCAGTTCCAGAGAAACGATTGCGTTGTCTCTGGTTTCGTGACACAGTTATTGAGAGGATGGTGGCTGACTTTAATGCATGCATGCTGTTCCCCATTGCTCTGACAGAACCGAGGACCACAACAACGTGCTGTAATGTATGCCTTTCATATTTTTGCACAGATCGGGGTAATGCTTCGTCTCTCGGTGTTGCAAATCGAAACCAAGGTAGGCTTATAGGCTTTGTGATTTCAGCATGACATTCACAATACCTGGAAGAAATGCATTGCTTATTGATTGGCAGTTTGGCGCGAGGCAAAATAATGTTGAATATGCAAAACACTGGGAGCTCGATTTGTTGATGGCGTTTCTGAAGAGACTTGTTTTGTTTTAATTCTAGTGGTTTAGTGAAATGTGGAAAATACAATGGATTTCTTTATTAAATATTTGTCTCATCAAAGAAGTAGCTTTCATATAGTTCAAGAGCCTCCATCCTGTGGCTTCTAGTCCCTCTCCAACCTCTGTGAAGTACCTTTGCAAAGAGGAATAGATAAATATCACACTAAACACTGCAAAAAAATGATAATATATTAGGTAATAAATGTGTTAATACATTCTGAATGCCTTTAAACAACAGTTGCCAATGAGACAGAGCCAGTTACAGTAGTCTTATTTCAAGAACTGTTGCTATGTTTTTTTATTTCAAGGGAGACATTATTTGTATCTTTTTTAAAACAAGATAATTTGGCTTTGTCCCATTGGCTTATCTTGTTTTGAGATTAATTTTGCCAAACTTGAGCAGTTTGTACTTATTTTTTAACACTTTTTGCAGTGAATAATTATCATTTGATGCATGTACTAATAAACAGGAATCCCAGTTTCCAGTTTATTAGAATCATCGTAAGGATTCATGTCTCATACTAAACTTGGAGCGACCCATAACAGAAATATGTCGCTTTTCAAAAATATGTATTGGATTTCTGTATTGATTGGTTTCACGTTAAAGTCAGTATTAGGGTCAAGATTATAGACTGTATATATATATATATATATATGTATATATTAACGGACGTAGTCACGCCTTTATCCGCCGTTCTAACTAATGTGTCAGAAATTGGGCTTTCATGGAGTGGTTCAAAATGGCCGCGGGGGCTGGAAAATGTGAAAAAACGCATCTGCGCATGCGTCAGCCGGCCCGAGGTCCGTTCATTTGAACGAGTGACATAAAAAATTCACAGCGACTAAACTAGACTGGTCCAAAAAAATTCACCCCCCTCAGCATTGACACACATGTGGAACGGAGCTTTGGGCCAAGAGCCAGCTTTTGGACCACCCTTTTGGACCATTCCGGGTCCACCCCCATCGGCCCGGGTTGGTATCGCAAGCCCGTCAGCGTTTTAGCCACTTTTGAGCCGGGACCCGCCCCCACTGGTCAAGATACCATCTATTGTTCCTGTAGGGGCCTTAGTCCTCTGCATTTTGCCCATTAGAGCAGCAGCAGCTCATTTGGGTTGGAAGTTTGACTCCTACTTCTGAAGTAAAACATATTTGGTTGAGCGGCCAGTGGACTGACCCCTCGCTCACCACCGTGGCAAAAGGCCGTGCCCCCAGACAGCTCTGCGGGTAATTAAAAAGAGGAGGTGAGGCGGCAGGCTGATATGAACCCTGCTCCCATTGATGAACGCTGCCTTGTGTCCTTGGGCAAGACATTCAACCCACATCGCCATCAGCTTCTCCATACTCTGAATGAATGAATGTGAATCTTTGACCATCAAGGAGCCAGTGTGGTTTATACAAGGAGTGAATGAATAACACCATATGAAAGGGCTTCCTGCTTTATGGTTTTCACATAAACGTCCCATATATGTGCCAAATTATTCCAAAAAAACATAGAAATTGGATCAGACAGCTCTCCCATGTTTATTTAGATAATCAAGTTGAAAATTAAAAACAGCCCACCTACATTGCAAAAAACAAGCATTCATAATTGCTTGAATCTCGTGATTTTTATCTTACTGTAAGTTGAGCACATTCTGACTGTCTTAAAAACAGGATTTGCCAATGGGACAAAGCTATTTAGTCTCAATTCAAGAACTGTTCCCTCATTTTCTCATTCCAAGGGAGACATTTTTGTATCATTTTAGAAACAAGATAATTTTGCTTGTCCCATTGGCAAATCTTGTTTTAAGGCAGTCAGAATGTGCTCATATTAAGATACCTTCTGCCCAATTTGAGCAATTTTTTGACTTATTTTTCATCAATTTTTGCAGTGTAGAGTTCATGCAATATTTGTGAATGATTTAAAGATTGTATTAGTATTAGGTTTAAATTTTCATCAAACACAATGAATGTCACGATTTCTTTATGAACATTTTGCACATGTATTCCAATGCGGTTTTACTGAAAATGGCAAATACAATTAATCAGAATCTGAATTTTTTTATTTATTTTTTGCTGATTATACGATAGAGATGTGCGTTTTTGTAGTCGTTGCCTGCAGAGCTTTTGTTTTCCGACAATCCTTTCGGGAGCGGCCCACATGGCTCACCATCGCCCAGCCTGCGAACCTCTCACCTCCTCTTTTTAATTACCCGCGGTGCTCTCTGGGGGCGCACCCTTTTGCCTCGCCGGTGAGTGGGGGAGCCGTGGGTGAGCCGCGGGTGAGCCGTGGATGAGCCGCGGGGGAGGTTTATGTAGATTGATCTGCAGCTAATCCACAAACGCAGACCTCCTGTGTCGTCGGTGTTAAGTCCGCACCACTGCTCTCACAGCCAGCGCAGGCAAATTAAAGGAGGATGGAAGAGATTCTGTAGACGAAAAAACTGCTTCTCTGCTTTTTGTGGTCACTGTGTCGAGATTACGAAGATTAGGCAGTACATTTAAAGAAAAAACAGGTATTTAGGAGGATTTTACACAATTTTAGGAAAGAACCATCCTCTCCACTTTTTGAACAATACTCTCTGGTCTTATTTGACAAGCAAAAAATGGGAGGACCAACAGTTTGAAGAAAATCCTCCTATATACCTTTAAGAAATTGAGATGGGGTTTTTTAAGCTTAAAAGACATTTGTTGAGTTGAATGTTTAATTATTTCAAGTTCAATGTAAATCAACATTAATCATCAAATGTCACGAGATGGAATTTTCTAGCAAATCATTCATTTTTACTGTTACTTATTACAATATAAGGAGTGGGAGGAAGATTTTTTTTATAAATTGATCGGGGAATTGCATAATGCAGTTTTATGAGTGTCTATTGCTGTTTCCTGGTAGCCTGACCGCCTGACCCTTCTACATTCTGACCATAGACTGTTTGTTAGGCGTGGACTGACCGAGTGTTGAGGTTTTGACCCATCGTGTTTTGTTTTAATGCCGGAAGAAGGTAGCGCAAACCTTTCCGCTTTAAAAGACCTGTGCGCTGTATAGGGGACAGCAGTCATGGAGAAAACAAAAGCAGTCGCGCTCACTGGTGATTTGAGGACGTCTATAAGTAATCATCTCCAGGTCACAGCTCAAACGTTGATGCTGTGGTTATTTCCACTGTGCTGTAATTGTCAAATACACTGTAAAAACACCTGTAACTGATTTGAATGAAAATGTAAACAAAAAAGATCCCTTTATTAGACAATTCAAGTCCTTTCTATTATGTTAAATCGTTCTATCTGCTGTAAAAAGCATTAAAAAGCAGAGATTGAGCAGCCTACATGAGACAATCCAAAAAGTTATTTTTGGAGGGGATTGGCTTGCCATTTAGAACAGAGAAAAATATGCGATTAATTGTGATTAGTTGTGAGTTACTATAACATGACACAATTTAATCGTTTGACAACATTACATAATAGGCTACATTATTACATGCATGAATAAAAGATCAAATCTAGACTTAAGGTGAAGTGTGAATTGATCTGAGTCTCTCTTGATCCACATCTCTGCATTATGAAGTAGGGCTTTAATGAATGTCTTCCCCTCTTCTCACTCTGCGCCTGAACATATTTGATTAGTTTGAGTAAATCCTGCTAAATCCTACAAGCTGCACCTTAAACAAACAACACGTGAGGTTTCCAGGCAACTCCTGCTCAGCTCAGTCTGGAACCCGCTCACATCCGCTCTTCTGAAGTCGCTCTAAAAACTACGAGATTCTAGTTTTATCATTACGATATTTATTCACAACCATTACATATTTCACTGTAGCACGGCGGCTGAGTGGTTAACACTCTTGCATCTGGAGATGGATCCCCGGGCGCTGTACTTCGGCGACCACTGCCCCTGACAGACGCCCGAGTGGCATTTGCAGGATGGGTCTAAGGCAGAGGACAAAGTTCCCTACAGGGATTAATAAAGTGCACATTTGCATTTACATTACACTGTGCCATGTTTATTACACAACCAGCAGCTCATGTCCCACTCCTACATTTCATCAATCTATTGTGAACAGCACCAGATGATCTCCTGCTGATGCTTGGACAGACCTTGATTACAAAGAACACACATCTCCACTCACTGAATACTTCAAAATAGCCAAAGCTTTACATTCACTATTTGTTAGCCATGACAGTTTCACAAGGCACCGGTTGTGGACATTCTGGTTCCAAAGTGAGTTACCAAAATTATACTTTGGACTGAACACATTCACATTCATTAATTTGATAACATGCACGTCAATTGACATCTATCATACATGTAATTTTTCTTTAAGAGATGATGTCACATTCTTAACCAATGTAAATATTCTCTCCATGCAGCGTAAAGCTGGGGTACTTAACTTTCAAAACATAAATATGGTAATATGTTGTATAAATCCATAGTTCCTGGCTCTCAAAACAGTGTGGTTCTTTGTGGTCTTTACATGCATGTTTTCTTTGGCCTCTGTCTCTTTTTCGGACAGAAAAGTGAAAAAGAGAGGACAGTCTTGGTTCAGTCAATCAGCTCTCTGCCCGAAGCATCAAATAGTGACTCACAGGGACATTTCTCTCAAGGGATATTTCTGGAAGGTTTTTTATAAAATAAAGACTGCATGTTGCTTTTATTAGACCAGTGTTCCCCAACCTTTTTGAGCCGTGGCACACCTTATTCATTGAAAACAATCATATGACACACCACCGGCTGAAACTGACACACGCCTTTAGTAACAAGGTATTATATAAGAAATAATGTATTTCTCATCAAAGTGTAATATACAGAAAATTAAACAAGCAGAAAAATCTATTTAATCTTCTTGCATTATTTTCTT